GGAGCAAACACTTACTGAAACGAAGTGAAAGGTCCAAACCTCAGTTACAATTCTAGACCTTCACATAACTTAAACTTAACTTGTTCTGGTGGAAACACACCTTTGATACAATGGAATTCCAGCCCTCCTTCCCCCTCCCTGAGAATGGAATAACATCACAGCCATTGCATCCAACACCTCAGTAAATTTTCTTACCTTACAAGCATCTCGATGAAAGACCATGTGCCTTTCTTACAGATAGGGCACTGAAGAAGATCCAAATAATATGTTAACATAGATGTGGACTTCCAAGGAGGATCACATTGGAGAACAAGGTACAAAATGTGACGAAGTTTAGCATAAAATATTGCATCAGTATTTCCCTGTAATAAAATGATAAAATAATATTCGCTCCATACTGGTCAAAGATCCATAATCACTAAGAGTTTTTGTATTTTCTTTGTTCCTTACAATCCCAAGTGACCAAATTTAATCAGTGAAGTAACATGCAATTTAATGCAAAAACTACAAAGCAGCAAAATTCACAGAATCACAGAATGGTTGAGGTTGGAAGGGACCTCTGAAGGTCATCTAATCCAACCCCCCTGCTCAAGCAGGGACTCCTAGAGCACATGAAACACGATTTTGGCCAGTTTGTGAATATCTTCAGGGAGGGAGATTCCACAACCTCTCTGGGCAGCCTGTCCCAGTGCTCAGTCACCCTCACAGTACAGAAATGCTTCCTTATGTCCAGGTGGAACTTCCTACTGCAATTTATGCCCTTTGCCTCTCGTCCTATTGTTGGGTGCCAATGAGAAGAGTCTGGCCCTGTCCTCTAGACACCCTCCCTTTAGATATTTCTAAACATGAATCAGATCCCCTCTCAGTCGTCTTTTCTCCAGGCTGAACAGGCCCAGCTCCCTCAGCCTTTCCTCATATGAAAGATACTCCAGTCCTTTAATCCTTAATTTTAGTCCTTTAATTGCACGTCACTGGACACGCTCCAGGAGTTAAAAAAAAAAAAAAAAATAAGGAAGGAAACAAGGAGAGCTTGCTCTGGTGATATTCCAGCTGAACCCACCACTGCTTAGAACAAAGATTCTCAATTGAGCTATCTGTGGCCTACTAGGTTAAAAAAAAAAAGTCACACAAGAGCTGTTTCTAAAAGTAAAAAAAAATTCTGTAACAATTCTTCCACAATATTTAGAGTACTACATTCATATGGCTTGTAAATTGACGAACACAAAGTGAAAGGTAAATATATCACTAAAAAGTACTGAATACAATGTCAGAAGCAAAGATCATAATACTTCTATTTCTTGCTTCAATATTTATAATATTTTAGCCTTCATCTCTCACCAACAGGACATATTCTAGAAGTGAATGAAGAAGTTGCACAGGAAGCGTCGAGTACTTCTGTCCAGCAGCAAGTTCCGTGATTACATCATGAAATAAATACTCTTCCACTAATCCTTCAAACATATAACATCTGCTTCTGGACAGGTCAGTATTTTTAACCTAGAAATGAAATATCTTTGTAAGTAAAAGAACAGCTTAATAAAAAAAAAAAACCTTACAAGAACTAACAGGAAACCTTTAAGTAAAATGTTGGTAATATAATAAAACAAGGAGAAGATTATAAACTACACCAGAAACACTACTTATTGCCTGACCCAATCAGTTGCTGTCATCTAGAAAGGCATTTAATCCTACTGAACTTGGCTTTCATTGCAAAGATAGTAGGTTTCAGAATGTGCTTCTCTTCTTGGAAGATCTGAACACATCTATCCTTTTAAAAAACAAATTACAATTCACACACTCAACTTGTCTATAATTTACTCTGGAAAGGTAGGCAAAGGAGGGTTAATATTTCCTAAAGTGTGGAGCATATCTCGTAGTATATGACTGGAGCAGTAAGATAATTAGTACCACTGAACAGCTAAAAAAATGAGAGGAAAATGTAAAATCATGAAATACGTCATTTAGGAGTACACATTATAAAACCATAAACCATGTAACTGTTTCATCTCCCTAGTTCTTCTATTCCCAAACAGCATGTCAGAGAAGCAGCTAATGCTACAGATATCACAGGTATTGATCCCAGTGGATTTCAAAGCTCTGAAGATCTTCTTAATGGCACAGGGCTTCCTTCTTATTCTCTGCCACTCATGACAGCAAAACACTTAACTTTGCAAGCTTTCAGAGGACCCAGAAGGATCTAATCGCTTTCATGAAATGCTGTATCTGCCCTGCAAATCCCCGTTATTGTCTGTACTCTCAGCTTTCCAAACCTTTATTTCCACAAATTAATGAAACTGAAGAGGAGCTATTGAAGATCTCAGTTACATTGCTCTTTACATTTTTCCTCTAGTCCAGGTTCAAGTCAAAGCTAAGATGCACAAACCAGTTGCAATTACACCGCTTGCTAATGGAAGCACGGTTTCCCTCTGCCTGGTAACTTCTGTTTTGAAATCCAGCTATTTTATTTGACCACACAGGTTCTGGTAAATTCAAAGAAAGTGGGATAGGGAGTCACAGCTGAGGGAAGTAGAGTCAGGGAGATCACTGATTGGACTGCTGGGAATTAAACAATTACATAAAATTATTATTACTTTAGTCCCTAACAATTTGTAGACTTCATATTCTCTGCCAAAAAACTCGGCTCCTAATGTACATTAGATAAAGCTACTCAAGACATCCTGCCAATTGTTTGAAAATTGGTTTTAAATTTATTTTTCAGTTGAATTGTGGTTTTGAGGTCACAGAATCACAGAATATTAGGGATTG